ATTTCAATAGCTTATACCCCGCCTACAAAGTGTGAAACTAGATGCAGTGTGATATTTGATTTAGATTTAGTTGTTCTTGCTTTACATGATTACATCTATTTAATACTTCACCAGACATGGTTTCAATGTGCTGACTTTCTGAGTGTTGTGAAATTATGATTCAATTTGGCATAATTTGACTCTCTTGTTCAAGTTGTTGATTGTAATTTCCATATATATTTCTTCACTGAAAGCTTTAGCATAAGTACAAAATCATGGCTAACATCTTGAATGCTTCAAATTTTGTAACCTTTGGCATTCAGGATGTTGCCTGTTTCGTACACATGTAAACCAAAAGCTTTCAGAAATACTGCTTCATTCATTGCTGTGAGATGGGGTTTTGTGCGCGTGAAAAATTTGCGCGTGAAGAATCTGCGCGTGAAGATATGCAAATTAGCTGACTCCCAAGGGATTTGAAAACTTTTTGCTGTTTTAAGCTTAAAAGTTGGAAAAAAGACAAGAAAATAAAAATCTAACCTCATTTTGCTTGCATTCTAGACTACATACCCTTGTTTTGTCCATTTTTTTGTGATTTCAGGTTATTTTGAAAGGTTAAGTTTTCACGCGCAAGAAAGGTTGAAATTTGCGCGTGAAAGAATTTGTTTAAGAAAGCATGAAATCAAACTTCTAGAATGGAGAAAAGCTTCAGATTGTTACATTTTACCATCCTAAACCTCATACTAGTAACTTTTCCATGTATTTCTTACAAATTCAAGTGATTTTCAAAAGGACAGGTTTTATGGAAATTATGCAAATTAGCTTATTCCCAAGGGACCAACATTTTCAAACAAAAATTTTGGCTAACAGAGGGAAAATTATACCAGAGGACAACATTTTCCTGCCTGAGAATTTGGTACTGCATATTTTCTAACATATTTCTAAGACTTTTATTTTTCACGCGCAAATTTTTCACGCGCAAGTTTTTCACGCGCAAATTCTTCACGCGCAGAAAACCCGTTCCCGACAGGGCCATCCTGTAGTACAAATTTTCCCACTATTGAAAGGACCAAATGCACTAAAAATGCCTGTCAATAGTGCAAAATTTTCTGTTATTGACAGGATGGTCCTGTCAATAGACACTTTGTTTTTTGTTTCCATTGTGGTTCTTGTTGTGGCATACGTAAGTTATTTGATGATGTTTATGTTTATGTTTATCTCTGTGAATGATTTACCACCCGTCCAGTCACTATCCTTCCTGCAGTGACAATATTTACAACAATAAAAACAAGTTACTACACCAGGAATGTTTGCAGTTTTTATAGTAATCAAGGGTAATGATGGGAATGTTGACCATTTTGACAATCATTATCATGCATCAATATCAGGGGTGCCAAAGAATTCATCAGAATTTTGCGGAATTCATAATATGATCCTTACTAGGAAACATACAAAGTTTACAGAATACATACCATCATTACTAGAAACATACGAAGTTTACGGAATACATACGATCCTACTAGAAACATAGGAATTTTACAGAATACATACGATCCATTAAGCGGAATACATACGATCCTTACTAATTTGGTGACTTGCACCACGATCACGTGACATCGGCAGCAAATTCAAGATGGCGGATGTCAGTACTTTGCTCAAAGCTTTACCCAATGATACTTCACTGACCAATTAGATGCCTCCTTAGTTAATCTGAATGCATTAGGCATTACTGACATCTCCTGCTGCCATACACAAGAGTTTGCAGACTTTTCCACCTTGATCACACTGACAGAAGCAGCTGTTCCTCCCACTTTGGTGTGCTTTTGTCAGCATAATGCTTCTGTTACAAAGTTCTTGTTATACTGTGTTTGTTGTCACCACTGTCACTACCACTACTTGCTCCTTTACACGTGCACACACACACACACACACACACATGTACGTCCACACACACATGTACACATGCACACACTCACGTACACACACACACAAACACACACACATGTACGTGTACACACACACACATGTACGCACACACACACACATTCTTCTTGGTCCATCCAAGAGGTATTCTCATTCCATTTATGACAAAGAGAGCTTGTCCATTGCTGCATGTACATGGTAAATGACATACTTGAGATACTGTACAAAGTAGAATTTTTTTGTCCTTGAAACCACATATAGAAATGTTCTTTCATTCACTACTGACTTAGTTTGAAAGCCAACAGTCTAATGACATAGATGTAGAAGAATGACAGCTGTGTTTTATATGAGATTCCCTCTTGGTACAATGACTTTTCACTAGAATGTCTTTCAGCACCAAGGACAGAGGATGGTCCATGATTACTTGTTTGCTTCTTTTGTTATACTGTCCAGTTGTGTGTGTGTATATGGGAATACTATGTGTTTGGGACAGTAGGAGCCATAGTTAAGGTGCCATTAATGTTTTCTATGGCTCTCTCTTTTAAATAAAATTGACAGGGAGGAGTGACTTTTTTTTTACACCAGCCACACCCCTACAAGACTTGATCTGCAAACTAAATGGTTTAACCAAAGAAAACTCCAATCTAAACAGTAGGTTTTTCAAATTGAAGAGTCCTATTTTGAAAATATTTTGCATTGACGTGACATGAGGCCAGAGGCTTTTAGACATAGTTTGTACAATTAGGTACCAACACTCCATTGCAATCCAACAGACTGTCACAAGGTAGGCTGCTTTCTTTGGTGTAGACAAAGTTAGTTGAAACCTTATCATCATCATAATCATCTTTCCAGGGTGTTACGACTCCTACATCCCTCCCTTCCCTGACTCCAGTCTTTTTTAGCTTCGCAGTTCTTGGTACAATGATTTCTCACTAGAATGTTTTTCAGCACCAAGGACAGAGGATGGTCTGTGATTGGTTGCTTGCTTCTTTTGCTGCACTGTCCACTTGTGTGTATGTGTATATATGGAAATATGTGTTTGCTGCAGTAGGTGCCATTAATGTTTTCTAGGGCATTTTCTTTTAAATAAAATCTACAGGGAGGGGTGACCTTCTTTTTCCACCAGCCACACCCCTACAAGAGATCTGCAAACTATATGATGTTCAACCAAAAAATCCTCAAATCTTACACACAGTTACAGTATTTGGAAAATATTTTGGGCTTATGTGACAATTTTGAGTCTTGAAGAAGTAGTTTTTTTAAGAAATAACTATCGATAATCCATTCCAATGCAACAGGTTGACACAAAGTATGCTTCTCTCTTTGTGCGTAGACAAAGTTAGTTGACACCTTAGACCCTAAAATCACTTGACACGTACATAATAGACTGCACACACACACACAGACACTTTATATAATGAAAAAGCCTGAAACGGAACGGTGAGTTTGTGAGGTGGGAACAGTGGCTCTGTTGGCATCAGCAGATTTCTTATCCAGCCCAGAAAATTGGCTGCTTCCTCCCCAGCGAGCCGCGGCCCGGTCGGGCGCGGAACCTGCTGCAGTCAGCGCTCCCCAGCACAAGCACATTGACTAAACCCCATTTTTCTGGAAGAATACAAGATGCAATCAACCGGGCTATCTCTGATTTTATCCCATCAGGCCCAGCTTTGGTTGATAGAACTTTGACGTGCGTCTCCCCAATGCATGTCCTCCGTGCACAACAAAGTACATGCTGGAGGTTAAAAGACAAATGCCCTTGAAAATTATGAGGTCACCACTGGTGCATTGCCGTGGATGTGTCAGGCATGATAACATATGAAGGGGTACAAAAGATAGGAAGTCTCCCATTCAAACGCGCTGCTGACCCATGAAAGGGTGTTTTGGAAAGAAGATGTGCCCTTTGCTTGGCCTGCTGGTCAGCCGACTGGCCACCGGTTCCCATCGGGGCAGAAAATCTTATTCATCTTAATTAGCTTGGACTGCAGAGTATGGTGTGTGTTGGGGGCTATTTTTGTCATTTTACTCAGCAATTCGAGCCTCTGTACTCCATCGTATATTCATCTTAGGAATACCAAACAGGCCTAAGCTTCTTATAAAATTTGATTCCTACAAAGTACAACATTTACTCATCAAATTGTAGTTCATGTTTGTATATTTTACTAACATGACAAATTTTCTTCAGATCCGAAAAAAAATGAACCAGTCCTATAGGGAAGAAAAGTGTATGTTACTGAGTGTGTGCTGAGTGGAGAGATTTGAATGAGACTCGCAGTGATTTTTTTTCTGTTTCATTCAAAATCTGGGGGCTGTTCAATCAAGTTCAATTTGTCACCGTCAGCTTATCGATTCTAAAATGTGCAAATTAGATGTGGCCTCTTTGAAATTTTTTTCCTACTAATCCAAGAAACCAATCTACTGTGACTTTGCTCCCATCAGTTGTCAATAATGATGAGTAGAGTAGAGTAGAGTAGCATCTACGGCCAGGTAGGACGTCAGTCCAGTTGAGGCTGCTCCTGTTGACTTCCCTTCTAGTTGATCATCATTGCAAGTTTCTGTGGGTGGTCCAGTATCTTGTAATGATATGATATGATATGATAGACATGTTTGACTGCACTCAGAAGTATGTTGACAGTTCAATAGTATTTGTTCATAATTATACAGCAAAAGGACACTGCCATAAAATGGCTGCATTGTACATTTATGCTACATACTTTTGTTTAATTCTTTTGTCCCTACGTTATTCCAGATGCAGAGATTGCTCGCCTGAAGGCAGAAAACGAGGCTCTGGCTGATGAACTGTCTCAGTGTCAGGTACATGACCTTAAGTAACCTGCTCACAAATAGAATTCTTGGGACTGTGTGTTCATGGATCACTTTTACTTCCTTTTCTTTGAGCATATTATCATTTACTTGTTAGGCCCAGTACAGGGCTCTAGCCAGCACCTGTTTTTCTGTCAATTGCAGGAACTTTGTGGCATGTGACAGAATTTTTATTCAACCAATCCGTCAACCTTGGTTGGACAAACTTGACAAAAATCTTGAGTAAAAATATACAAACATTAAATAGGACCACCACCAACCACTCTCAACCCCATGATTTGCCTCTAAAAATGTGGGAAATTGCGTTTTAATAGACTTAGAAATCCAAAGCTAGTCCACGGACCCCCCTAGATAGTGACCACTCTCCCCCCAGGTCCAATCATGAACCTGGGCTGACAGAAAAAAAATTTGAGCGGGGGAAGCCCTGGCCCAGTGTACAGTTGATTACGAAGCTTGTTCTACTCCTATACAGGCGGACAAAGAGTTTGTTTGGTCACTATGGAAACGGCTACAGGTGGCATCACCTGACATCACCCAGGCCATCAGCCAAGTCATACAGAGGTACAGGAAAATATAACCTTCTCAGTTTTTCTTTTCTATCACTGTTTGTTTGTTAGTTTGTTTGTCTAGATTCTGAAGTTCTATTATTAAAATACATCATGTAGTCTTCCTGGAGTCCTTTTCTTGTAGTATAATCATAAATTATTATACAACACAATTGACACGAGTCTTCCTCAATAAGAACCTTAATTGAAGTAACAGTTCCACTAACTGAGGCTACACAATTGCTTAGCAAACTTAACAATGAGATAGAAATTTATTTTTCATCTATTTTTCATTGTGTATCCAAACAATATCTTATTCGTTGGTATTACAGTGCTGATGAAGGTAACATTGTACTTTTGTAAGCTCTACCTTACCAGCTTACACTTACAGTATTACTGCTAAGGTCCTTCCCAGATAAAAGTCCACATTGTCACGTTGACCCTGTGCTAATGGACCATGGCTTGGGACAAAGAAATGTTTCTAGTACTCATTAAGTCCATAGTGCTGTCCCACATGGACACAGATAAAGTCCCTTTGAACAAAAGATTATCTTTCAGATTTCATAAGGTCAATTCTGAAGTTTGAAATTAACTTAGATTTCATTGTTTTGCTTTGTCTGAAGAGTAGTTTATGGAACTTGTGTTTTTGAAGTGTTATTTGAGACACTAAGGCTGGTTGAAAATTTGTCCATGATTCTTCCCGAGGCCTTGTCCTTCTAGGTACCCTTGACACGCGGCACTTTTTCCATCTGTCACCTCTGCCACTCCTGTCATAACCTCTGCTGCCAGCGCGCGATCCTAAGCTGTTAATGGACACCACAGTGTCCCTCTGTGGGTGCCAGATTTGAACTTCTATAATTCTCGACTTTAGGAGCTGTTAGTTCAGATTATTCCCCCGAAGTTGAGCGACCTCTGTGTGACATCCTCCCCCAGTAATCCTGACGTCGGCTCCCCAGAGTTCCCGGAGTGACCGCTCGCGTCGAAATCGCCCCGCCGTGATTTCCTGAGGGGTTCGGGCCTTGTCTGAGGCTCCAGCGTTAAGGTGACATCCTCTTTGCCTCGCCTTAATTATTAACGCGCCGGGGCGGGTCATCAGCCGAAGAAAGGACCAAAGTTTCTGGACGTTTCGGCGGGAGCTCGATGTAATTGCGAAGCTCGGACACTTGGGGGCAGCCGGGTCCGTAGCCGTGCTGATTACTACAGTTTCGGTGGACACCGGTGGCATTGTGCTGTCCAGCAGAAATCCATGCCAGGTGATGGATTTCAGAGGGGCGCGATGATGTGTGGTGAGGAGTATTACATGTCGGCAGTGTCGGGGGAGAGGTAGCCATTGTTCACCTGCATTGATCCAGGGGCAAGTCAGATTGCACGGGCAATGGGATTGCACACTGGCACACTTTTCAATAAGACTGCTGCTGGCAGGGTGATTAGAGTTTCAGGTCTGCCACTGTCCCTGTAGGTCAGCAAGTTTGGAACTTTGCAAGGACACTTGTCTTGACTGGCAGTGAACTTTAAAGAAAGGAAGAAAGTGTAGTTCAATGAACTCAATAAACAGTCAAATTACACTTAATATATATATATTAAGTTATAGTCAAGTCATATCAAAACCCCATGAATCATGCTTTTTCTTGTAATCACACTTTATGGCCAGTGACAGTTGTCACAAATCATTCTGTCTTTATTGTCTATAACAAACCCTTATATTATATATTACCTTTCTCCTCCATCTACATGTACATACACTATGCTATGATGAAACCATATTGTGTTTTGTTAGCTTGTAACCTTCTCCCTGCTACCTAATCCCTTAACTAAGTAGCTACCTTAGCAGGCAGAGAATTTAAATGTTACTCAATATGAAGTTAAGCGGTGCCTACTCTAGACATAGGTGGACTGTATTGAGCATCAAAATTCGCCTGCTTGTGCTAGACAGTAAGTTGGACCTACATATTTCTCAAAGTATTCCAGCAGTCAAGGTTTAGCAGCGATGCCGTCCATTTTTTTAGTTTTCCCATTTGTCCCTGGACTTCCCCGATCTGTTCCGGGCTCACCAGGAAGAGATGATTTACGAGAGGCACAAATTGAAGTTTTGATAGTCGGAAGCAATCGAATCTTGTTGTCCCTGCCTTTTACCCTGGCAGTGTCAGGGGCTGATTATGAAGCATTGTTTAAATCAGTCGCTGTACTGGCAGGGCTGCACCAGCCTGTGGTCTGGATATTAGCTTTGTTATGACACCTTGTTTCATAGTACTAGTAACTTGTCTGTGTAGTCCAATGGTTATAGTGACCCTCAGCCTGCCTCTAGACCAAGAAGTCTTGAGTTCAAATTCTGGATATGTCACTCATCTGACATACATGATTGTACATTCTACTGGAAAGGGTTGCAGTCCTTAGGACATTAAGCTGTGGTGCACAGTTAATTGCACTTGTTGAGAAGAGTAAGGGAATTTGCAGGTACAATAAACCTGTAAATACTGTAATAGTGTCTGTCTTCTCTGTCACAACCAGTGGAAGATCTAGGGTACATTCATCAATATCATTTTTAATCAATCAATCAATCCATTTTTACTTTCACTGAATATGGCTGATGTACAAAGGACCTTTCTGCCTACCCTTCTGATTCTGTCTTTATTGTTTCTCCAGAGAGAAGGAGAAGGCAGAAATAAAGGACAGGAAAGTCCTGGACATTTTGCAGACCAAGGACAACAAGATACACGAACTTGAAGAAGTAAGTCTGCGTGTAACCAAGCACTTTGACAGATAAGCTTTTGACTATGTACAGTAAAAACCCAAGGATAAGTGCCTGATGCATTTGTTGTCATTGATTTTTTGTTCCTTTCCATCAAATCAAAAAGCTTCTCTCCAGGTTTCACTAAACTCTTTCATCATCCAACAGTACTCAGAACCAAATGATATGGAAGATTTCGTTTTAGTTTTTATCCATTCTTTACTCCCCTACCAAAGAACCACTTGCCACACAAAGGAGACTGCTTCAAAGCGCGCGCAGGGCAATGCCATTTAGGTCCCGATAGCAGGCATCCTGTGATCAAAGGTCTCCAAAGCTGACATGACCTTGGCCATGTAGTTTAATGATGTACGATCGTATGACCCTGCTAAGAACGGTACAAAAGGTGGAGGTAAATCTCACAAAAGAGCCGCCCCCAGAGGCTACCTGACTGCTAATGGTCTTGCTCCATGTCAAATGTCCCGCTCTCCGCTCAATAAATGTCTCTAAGCTGCTTTTGTACGTATGTATGTGTGCTTCCCTGTGCAAAATCAATGGCAGGGCGATTGGAAATCTTCCTCCTCTTCCCTCTTCCTTTCCGAGGTTAATGGAGTCTTGATGACACTGATACACAATAATCACTGTGACTTTTGATCTGTCTCCCCCCATGTGCAGACAATAGCAACACAACAAAGGGAGCTGAACAGCATAGTTCAAAGGTAGGAAGCCCAGCCCAGCGCTTGTTGCCAATTGTTAGATATCCTGTCATGATAATAAAATCAGGGTTGACCCCACCTGACCGGCCCTTGTCTCGCAGTATGTAAAAGCCAATAAAATGTGTGTATTATGGTGACCAATTGCTTTCCAATGAGGAACTAATTAGAGAAGCTCGTTTGTAATTGACCTTAATTTTCCTCTCTAGGGGTTGTCACATCTGTAATGTGCGCTTTGTTGTGCAGTTAATTGCTAAGCTGGGCTGTGATCGACGGCAAAGCTGACACAGGTTTGATGAATAGAACTGGCACCGGTGCCCCCAGGGCACATAATCAGCTGCTTCAAAGTTTTGTGGCCTCCGTAAATGATCAAAGTTGGGCCATTTTAGTTGACATTTTATTTGTTTGACTGGACAAGCAGCCAATGACTGACTTCTCCCTTCCCCCAGTGGAATTCTTTTGAAGAAAGGCTATGACAGAACAAAAACTTTTAATGGTCAACATACTTTTTGTCTCTCTACAAGTTCAAAAGGTATTGTATGATGCCACCAGCATCTTGCTATTAAAGTTGAAACATTATAAGTTGAAACATCATTGTATAACCAAGAAGGGGCAGCCATGGAATAAGCATGTATCCCTTGCACTTTCCCCTACTGTATACACATACACCTACCTACCTGTTTGGCACCATTTGTAGGCCCTCTACTGTGCAGAACAGGCATGACAGGTGCAACCTCTGTTACAGTACAGTACAGTACAGTATGTACATGTAGCTGCTAGCTGTGCTTGGTGTCCACTTCAATACGTCAGTCAGTACTTGATCCTATGTAGGATCACTATCTATATTCGTGCATATTGTATCAAAATGAAGAATTTTGACAAAAATGAAAATAATAAACAGAATTTTTCAGATAAGAAACATATTTTGATAAGGATATCTTGAGCAATTTGAACATCGTTCAACCTGTTATATACCAATCTCATCTAAAAATTACATGTCAAAACAAGGGGGATAGAATATAAGATATAAAATTGTCAATTTATTTTGGTTGTAGAAAATTATCTCTGGATGAAGAAAAAGGCAAGTTGCAAGCGGATTTGAAGGAGGTGAAAGACAGAAATAATTTTCTGGAAAGCATGGTAAGTATATCAAATTATTAATGAACTATGTTACTCTTCCTTTAATCCAAAGAATCGTATTTGTTTAGGCCCTTCTAATTGTTACCTTTACAAAGGTGTGTCTGTGACTGTGTGAGTTTTCTACGTGTGAGTCTACTTTGGCCAGTTTTTATTCATTTTAAACATGGTTGTATGGGGCATGGTTGTGATGTTGCAATTTCCCTCTTTGAAAATTGTTAAATTAAACATACAATGATTGCTTTTATTTGCTTTATAAAAGAAATGACTGGGAAATCTGTCTTCCACATTGTCCTCATGTTACTGAATGGCCCTTGATTTGTTGTATTCAGCTGAAGACGAAGGAGAGAAAGGAGAAAGAAAATGAGGAGCACAGCAAAACCCTGGTGGACAGTCTTCAGCAGGAGAAGGAAGGTAGGAAGGGTTGAAATTGAGTTATACTTTGCAAAGCTGAATGATATTTGTTTCTTAATGTCCTGTTGTGTCTTCTGTTGTGGCATTTTTGGCTGGATCACTGCAAAAGTGCAGGATCAATTTTTGTCATTTTGAATCAACGATTTACAGAATAATTGGTGAAAGACAACATACAACAATTATATAGTGGTGCTGGTTAGTAGAATATTCCTCAATCATTGACACTTTTTGTACCAAATGAAAGGTAGAGACACATACCTCCAAATTTTCGATGTCCACTGATCACGGAGTCTAGGTCACTTTCAAAAAGCCTCAGCCACTGATTGAGGAATATTCTCGACTACTAACTGATAATTCTACATGACTGATGAACCTCTTCAAAACGATAGTGATGCTGAAAATTACTTAACCTTTAGTACAATGGAGTGGCCTGTTGGTTGTAGGGTTAGGCAGCAGTGAGAATATTAATCTGATTATCCTTTATCCAAATCCAAAGATTACACAAACTCACAGTGATTTTGATTCTTGTTTCCAAACAGCAAATTGTCTTGACTACATTTTTTTTCATTTAAGTGCATATTGCTCAAGTCTTTAAAAGCCTTTTGTTTCTCTAATATGTCCGTGATTCCTCAGAAGTCACCATTTCTATCTATGCTAAAAGGAAAACACACTAAAGATGTGGTCAAGACAAGATAAATACCAGAGAAATGAACACACCTCTCCTTAGGGACAGATTAAGAACAAATTAGGTGGAAAATTTTCTTGTCTGTCAGAGTGGTTTTAATGTTTTCATCAGTGAGAGCAGATGTGCACAATGTCATGATGATGTCTTTGATTTAAATGAGTATTGACTAATATCTGTATCTATATAGCCGGTATTTTAACCACCCTTAGGTGTAACGCACCAGCTTTGCAGACACTAGTCAGCACAGCAGCAACTGTTTATATTACACTGAATGACTTGTCACACCTACATGTACGTATATTGTGTACAGCTACAATGTAGCTGCAAGTAGCATTGTTGACAACTCAGCCTAGTAATGATGCCCCTACTGTTGTTGGTAGCAAAAATCCTTTGTCTTCCACTGTTTCAGAAGAAGGAATCAAATAATATTAAAAAGTTAGAATGTAATTTATATTCAGCATTTAGAATAAAGTAGACATGTTATAATATTTGTTCTTCAATGTTCGTTCATCTTTTTCATGTAACTTTAACAATTATATATCCTTAGGAATTTGCAATAAAGTTATTATTAAATTTTCCTTCATTCTCTGTACCACAAATACTAGATACTACTACAATGTATGTGTTCCTGTGATCTTTTTCATGTAACTTACAATTAACCTTAAGAATTTGCAACAGAATAATAAAAAACTAAAATTTTATTCATTCTCTGTACCACAAATACTGGATATCACTACAACATAAATGCTCCACTTTCTACCTTAAGTCCTGTCTCCCATGAAATCCTGGTGACCTATTGGCACTGATTCGGCCTCACCTGAAATATTCAATTGGAAAAGCGATCTCCCCTGGATGGAGCCAGCTTGTCTGGACCCATAAATTGTGCCTCTCTTCTTCTGGACACTGATGAGAACTGACTTAATGTAAAACGACAAATTTTCTCTCTGCTCCTGGTAGAGATGACACATCGATATCGTACCCATAGCCACTTTCTCTGGGTTTTTTCCTCGTAATGTTGTTCTTACGGTCTGGAGCAGGTTGTGTGCTGGAATAGTCTGACTGTACCTCAGATGTTATCCTATAGCCTTGTATGTTGTGCTGTCTCTATCATGGTACTACGTGGGGTAGAAGTGTTTGGGCTGTCTCTATCAGCTATTTGTCAGTTGTAAATCTTTGTATGAATCCAAAGAGAAATTTGAGACAAAAAGTGTGTTCTTCATACACAGTCAGGGATCCAAGAAGTACTTTATTTCTGTTGTCTACAATTAAGTGATTCATACTACAGTTGTACTGGCCAGTAGTCCTTCAGTATTATAAATTGCAAGTTATTGACATTTTGTCTTGCAGTATCACAAATTTGTCTGCATTTGTTGGTATTTGGAGCACTGACAATGCTAAGCTTTCAGTTGACATATTGCACAAATTTATCCGTTTTGTAATATGTTTAAACAATTTTTTTATACCATTATTTCGGCATGCCATTTTAGGTCCCCTTTCCTGCTAGGCAGTGGTGACTGAGTGACCATTGATTAAAAGAAATTGGATTTGTGTGGCCCTTTATTTTGTGATTGAAATAAGATGAATATTGCATATAAAAATTACATATGATTTAAAATGTAAGGAAAACACACGAAACATTACAATATTTGTTATCTATCTGTGAAATTCGTTGAACGATCTGTCATACGTGTATGTTTAGTCACTCAGTGGCCACAGCCTCTAGTGGAAAGTGGATGTCACACACTCTGTAAGGGAGAAAATGCTAGTGATTAAAATAAAGCCTTACAGGACATAGTTTTGTAACACAACTGTTTGGAATTCTTTAATTCCACAATGCCAACATTTAATTTCTGTAATTACTATTATTATTTTTTTGTCGCAGATCTGAACAGGAGAATCACAGACCTGATTGTTGAGTTAGAAACAGACAAGGAAGAGAAGACGGAACTGTTGGGATCAAAAACATCTCTGGCAACAAAGATAAAGGTACAGAATTAATGTAGACTACATTTTGTAATATGTTGACACATGATATGTAATGTGCATGGAGTGCAAAACCATGATGTCCTTTCTTAAAAGAAAGGGGCAACGTTATTTTTTTAGCAGTACATTGTACTTCTTTTTGGTGTAATTGTTATGATTTTTTAAAGGGTATTAAAGGAAAATATAACAAGGCCATCAGAGATGGAAAGACCTCATTCCTTTCAGAAACATGCCAAAAACAATACTTGGGGTGAAGTAGCAATACAACAAGAGTAATGTGAATTTCCCCCTATGCCATTGTAACAGGACAATTTTAGTGGATAGTAGACTCTCTTCCTGAGAAGTCTATCAAGAAAAAAACGTCCATGGCATGTAAAGTTAAAAGATAACATGCTCATTCTCAAGAAAGTCCATTCAAACAGATCACCTGTAAGTAGTATGCATTAGCTGGTATTACCGATTCTACCTGTAAATTTTCCACCAGCTCATTTGCATTAGTTTGCATACACACCACCACACTGCACAAGCTAACATGGGGTGGACTCATTTTGTTCAAATCTGTATCAGAATCCCTGCTTTTAGATTTACTGAGTTTCACCGGAGCTTAGCTTTCATTTGGCATTTTCATCCAATTTCTTCCTGTTCTGTGCCAAAACGTGATCATGGAACATCCTTTTCGTAAGAAAAATATTCAACGAAAATGTTAACTGCAATTATGCATGTACTCACAAAATTGTCTTTTGAGGGACACTGACTGTTGTTGCAAACATATATGCATGAATATGATACAATGTCATGTATTTACTAAATCGTCTTGGACAGAATCTTTCTTTCAAGCCTATAAAATATTATTTGCTCCCTCTCCTCCTTGATGCAGGTATTGGAAGACGAGGTGAGAGGTTTAAACACCCGAGCAGATAGGCTCACACGAGAGGTGAGGTTCTCGTTCTGTTTCAGTGTGCCAAATAAAAATTCTGTCATCTCATCTAATAATATCTCTTAGTCTTCATTGTTCAGCCGTTGGAGCACCACAGATGATCTGACAACCATGGCCCTTCTCGGTTTTCTGATACTACAAACAAATAGTGAACTCTGTATTTATCATTGTTTGGGTATTGTTCAGTCTCTCAAAATTTGTTATGATTCCAAAATTTAGACATTTACAATGATGTATCAAATACTTTTAAGGACTACTTATTGCACAATCGACTTCTTTTATATGTAAAATAAAATAAATGCTTCAAGGATTGATTTATTTTCAATAGGATTTCTTAGCAAGGTGCCTATATTTTAACATCCAAAACATCAACAGTTATAAATCCTATTTCTTCCAGCTGGCAGCTGTTTCGTTTTTGGTTTGATCTGTTGTGCATGTAGTACTGTATTATTTCACTTTAGAAGAAGAAACAAATTCAATGGAATTTCCCATCAGAATTCTATGAAAATGTAACCAAAATTTGAATAATATGCAATTCATGTCCTCCATATTTCAAGATAGTTTTTGCCTCATGATTTAACAGGTGAAGCTCCTCTTTTGTCAGACCTACTAAAGTGGACCTGGGTGTTTAGAGTGATCACTTCTGCACAATCAGAATTTTGAAAGTTACATTTCTGTGATGTTTCTAATTTGGTGCATGGTAATTCTGATATGAAAGCAGGCTCTCTGGTACACTCTACAATTTAGCACATAAAGATATATTGAGTTAAATGAGGTATACCTTATTTAAATGTGTTTTTGAAATGGACAGCCATATATAGACAGTATTGAGTTTCTTCATGACCGGATTGTCATACATACAAAAATACAGTAGACAGAGAGGAATCTGTGAAGTGTTTTTTACGGACAGACTGAAGTGACTACTACAAGCCTGTGGAGTTGTCCTGTCCAGCTTGACCTGTGGCCATGTGTAATTACACGATGGTGTGACCAGCACCGCGGCCAGACACTGTCCTGCTGAGCGGGGGCAATCAGGGGGAAATTTGTGCTGATGGGAAACAGCAGCTCGCAGCATCAAATTCAGCAGAACATGTAGACTTCAGTCAAACCTGTACTAGTGCCCAGGTCTACATAAGGACCACCTGGCCATTTATATCATGACATTGTACAGTCAAACATGTGCAAATGACCACCTCTGAATAAGGATCATGGCCATTGTTATACTGTACAACATGTACAGTCAAACCTATACAAGTGATAACCTCGATCTGCATAAGGACCACCTGGCCACTGATAGTGATACACAGTCAAACCTACAATGTAACATTACCAAAAATGTTTTTCCTATTTTCTTAATTCGTGAATGGACAAATTTCTTGCACTGAAAAATTTCAAGAATGAATATGAATGAAGATAAAAAAAAAAGAAATTATTTGTCATGAACATTCTTTACTAAATGCCTCATACCAAAAACCATTTTGCAATTTTTCGTAAGTGCAGAAATCATTTCTAAAGAAGATTATATTTTCCAGAATTTTAATCTTCTGAGTATGTTTAGTACTTCTTGCCTAATACAATGTATAATGTGTATGTCATACACTGTACATGTACTTTCTAAACAGATACCAGAACATGTATTACCTATGCAGTGCCATTGACACTCTGACTCTAGCAGCAGTTCAACTTTCTCCCTCTATAATTCCTGATGAAAAGTTTTCAACCGTTGTACCAATAACCTACTGACTTCTCTGACATATTACAAAGCAAGGACGTATGGATTTCTGTTCTGCCAGCAAGGTTCTAATTTCAGTGATTCGTCATCTGGCCATTTTGCTCAATCAAAGTTTGACTTTTCTGTCCAGTCAAAACCTTCCCTTTAACAGCTTTGACAGTTCTTTGTTGTATCAAAAGAAAAGGGCATAAATAAATATATTTCTAGATCCAAATGCCATTTAGAGATGACGTAGTTCATGTTGTAATTTGTAAATTTTGTATCGACAATATTTTTTGTTTATTGTTAGACAAAATTTTAGTGGTCAGTGGCCATTGGACCACCTTTAATTTTGAGCCCTGCATGTACAGACTCAGACAGGATCAAAAGGGAAAACTGTTTCTGAGCATCGAGGCATAAACCTGGTCTTCAAGCTTAAGTTTGTCTTTGTTAAATTATTGTTTTTCCAGTAAAGTATTTGAAAAAAATTTGAGAATCAAGTTTTAGAAATGAAATTAATGTTGCAGGGAGGAAAACTTGGAATTAGATCATAATTATGACTATTCACCTCATAAAAATGAGTGCATCAAGGCATAAATCCAGTCTTCAAGCTTTGTTTTCATTAAATAAAATATGTTTTCCAGTTAAAGCATTTCCAAAAATCTGAGAAGCAAGTTAGAAATGAAATTGGTGTGGCCTGAGGGACATGTATATATACACAGATCCAGACAGGATCAAGGGAAAACTGTTCCTGAGCAGCTGGTCATGTGAGCTGTACTTAACAGTAAAAGAAGCAGGGTTGATGAATGGGTCAATTTGGGCCTTTGTCCACTCATAATTATACTCTCACATTTTCCCTGTAGTATTCACAGATTTTTTGTCTGAGCACATGCTGCTCTGGATGTCTGTCATTCCTGGCTAACTCAGGTTTAGTCCATATCCGGAAAGAAAGGTTGTTAGGATGAGTATTGGTGGGATAATTTTCTTCTCACTGTTTATTTGATGGTATGACTTTGCCAGTATGACCTTTAGAACAAAGCCTTTGCCTCGTCAATGGAGGTTAGACATCCAGGTAAAAATGAGCCAAGCAACTGGATAAAAAATGAAGAGCCAGCCATTTCAGACAGCAGCCACAGTGACTATCTTTCATCAGTGAATGAGAGAAACAAGTATAACCTGTATATAAATGAGTATCTGGATTGGGATGTAAATGAGCTGCTGACAAGAAATTCAAAATTCAAAGCCTTTTCCTACTTACCCTTGCAATAATTATTGGTCCATTCAGTTAGGGCTGTGTACTTACATGTAAATACATTTTGTATTAGTACTATTACCTAAAAAATTATTTAGGTACAGGTCTGGGCATAAACATCTAGTGTACCTATACCTTAACAAAACAACGTCATGAAAAAATATTTTTTTTACAGTGAATATAGGAAAATTGCAATGGTTCCCTCAGTCAGAACACCCTGCATATCCCCACACTGAAGCACGCTGTTGCGCGTCGGCAACGAAACTGGGCCAGCTAACCCAGGTGAACTTGCCCAAAAGCAAAGGCCAAATGCCAATTGGAGAGGTGGTCCTAAAGCAAACTCTGGGAACAAAGTTAAATAGACAGGGAGGCCAGGGTCATGCCCATTCAGAATTAGCAGCCAAGGGTAAGCGCTCAGGAGGGAATTACACGCCAGCTTGACTCTGTCTCCACAGCAGGACACTTTGTAAACATACAGTAGGGATCAAGTACGAAACAGAAAACAGAAAAAAATTGAATGTCTAAATCAGAATTATACATACATGTAGGACAAATTTTACAACAGTTTACTATATAGCTATGTCCTGAAATAAGGCTGCAGTGTTTAGCAAGAGCTTTCTGTATCATACTGCAAGACTATTTTAGTGTGGATACTGTTTTGATGAAAATTTTGGTTTATTTTAAAGGTGGATTTGATAAACAGTAATTTCTGCAAGGCATTTGTTTAGTTTGATCAAATTGAAGGTTTATGACTGTCACATTTTCTTTCCTTTTCCAATTTCCAGTCAATGATATGGTAATATACCAACCAATTTTCACAGTATGATTTCAGAAATTATACTGTGAAAATTGTTTTCTTCTCTGACTATACAACAAAAATCACATCCAAATTCACAGACTTGTACATGACTGTACAAAAATGTAAGTACATAAATTGACTATTTTTACCTTTTATTACTGTCTGGTAATGTTTAAGCCTATTAGTAGATGCTGGTTTTATATAGGCTTAAAAATAGCTGACATCCCAAATCTTCCTTTTGTAAAATTAATGTTGAATTACAGTTACATTTTATATCACAGACTGGCATGTTACAATGTAAAACCTTATAATTTTAGAAAACAGCTCATTTAATAGCAATTTGTAATACATGATGATCCATGTAGGATTTGTTTGGCCTTTTTGTTCATTGGTGATGAAATTTGACACATATTTTCTGTAAATTTCTTGTCATTTTATTTTCATTGCTCTTGAGCTAAAACCTGGAACAATACATGTATGTCATTTACATATTAACTAATAATTGTTAATGTGTCTGAATTAAAAATTGTATACAGAATGTAACATGGACATGGACCCTTATTTTTACTGTCCAGGTGAATGATTATCATAACATTCTTTTTGTATCATACCTTAAACTTTAAGTTAAGTTTAAACAATCCTTCCTATTTGCAAATTTCTGAAATTTGTCACTTACATTTGTATTTTGTGTAATAAGTGTAAAAATGTGTGAATTGAATCTAAAGTTTGTGTATTGTATGTTTTAAGGTGAATCAAAAATTTCTAGATTTTATGCAGCCCACAATTTTTATTCTTCATAACCTGTTCAGGACTGGTTAAAGCAAAGCTGCACAACACTGAAATGTGGAACTGTAGGCACCCTGTACACCTTACAGTATCTAAACTATCAAAATTTGTTTCCTACTTACTATTTTGTTTGAGTTATTTACAGGATTGTCTGATGTCTAAAGGATAGAGCAAACGGATCTGTGCTGATCCTGTAATAGTTGCCTTTAACAAAACATAAGCCAAGCCTAATCCCCCCAGACCAGCACACAAGCATATTTTTCAATCCCTTTCATTTTGCGTCCAAAAACTGCCAGGGAAGTGGTCCCTTTTGTTTGGGTTTGATTGCAGACACGATGTCAGCAATTACACGTAACGCGTCCATCTGTGCGCTGCGTTAAAGGCCCCCGCGTGCCGCGCTCTGGTGTGTGTGTGTGCCCGGCGAGGGTACCACCGTTACCTTACAGGCGCTCCGGTGTCAATTGTTCCGGGGACCCGTGAAATCCAGCAGATGTGTCGCCCCACAATGGGGCACGAGCTTATAATGGACACGACAATACTGCCCCGAACAATGGAACAAAAGGCAGGGGCGGTGTGCGCTCTCCCCACACGCAGGTCCCGGGAGGGGGGCACGTTTAATATGCTGTCACACCGGGACCTCGGCAGGCCTACAAAAGGAAGATTAATGTCAACATTAGTTACATGCCAAACAACTTTTATCGATTGCCATTTCAATAATTAACATAAGCCGCTCTCCCAGACGTAATGTGACTGTTCCCCTGCACCTGTTCTTTTGGGACAGACATCGGGATGAAGTTGTCACTGTTCCTTTAGAAACAAGCGTGCATCTCATCACAAATTCATTGTAAATCAATGATTATTATTGCTTAAACATGTGTGTTTACTGTTTGTTTTGTTTGCAGTAAAAAAAGTCAATTCTTATACTAAGTAAGGGCTTTTAAAGATGACAAGTTAGTATGACACTATGTTATACCCGTATATGAGCAGGGTGACAGGTCCATTTTCTGATGAACATGTTTCTCATCAAAATTTCACTCAATTCAAGAAATGTTACTTTTTACAACATTCCAAGTTCAAGGCAGTTCAGGTGTAAAACTGTTTGTGCATATGTGGTGATCAGAATTATCTATTTCGTTGGCATATCTTATGATAAGTCATAGAAATCAGTCTAGCGGCCATTTGCAGTATGGAAGCCTATACTTGATTTGGGGGTCCTTTATACTGGCCATCTGTGCTCACATATACATCAAGTCTAACTTGTTTCTTGCATTTTCATGAAGATGATTTGACTATGAACAGGTTGGTTAAAAAGTTGTTTTAACCAGTTTCTTCAGCAGTTTCCTGAATTTCTTTTATTGGTGCATACACTAAAATTATCCAGATTCCAGTACAGTAGTACTTCTAGTACTAGAAGTTTAGTGTCTTTTCTGTGACTTTCTATATTCTATTTATATACATTGTATGTATGCCACTTTAACCACTGGTATGCTGAAGTAGCCCTTTTGGCTACCAATTCTCTATTTTTTTACAGGGTTAAGCAGCATTGAAGGTTCAGACTGTCATTTTAAATTGCATGTAGTCCTTAGAAAAAAAAAGGTGGTCCTTAGATCTTTCAGAAACATAGTTATGAGATCATTAAATAACAGGTTATAGAAAATCTGTGAATGGAAAAAGTGTACTAACAATAATTCCCCTTAATGATACAAAGAAGGTTTTGTTTTCTGGAAGACAATAATGGATATTAAATGACAGCATTTCTGTTTTTTTTTTCAAGTATTAGAAATAAAGTCCATGTCAAGGGATTATTTTCAACTTCCTTTCATGGCTTAATAAGGCACTTGCTGTTTTGAAGTAGGAAGTTTCCATTGTGCATCCCTGTCCAAAATTGAAACAACAGAAGATACGATAAGAAAAAGCAAAGCTAAATGGAGTGACAAAAAGAAATACCAGGACTGGTGCTGATGTTTGTTCTGTTGATTTGCAGTGTGCAGACCTGAGGGAGAGACTGACTTCCTCTGACCAACAGCTGGAACAGACAGGCAGAGAACTCGACAACAAAAGTGGAGACCTGGAGAGAACAAGGTCTGGCTTTTCCTATCATCAAAGACTTGGAATACTTCTCCTACTACTGCAGAAAATAGTATTTCAAACTTTTCCACTGGATATAAGAATTTAATTGTCAGACATTTCAAATGTCATTCTGACAGTCTTCATATTATAAGTGAAGAGTGTCAGAATGACACTTGAAATTCCTGACAATTAAATTCTTATATCCACTGGAAAAGTTTGAAACAATTGATTTAACCCTCTGCCCTAGATGACTAATCTTAACAAACCTACTACTATACCTAATATGTTTTTATTGTAGACACTTTTTATTTTCTTCTGTAGCATTATGAATAATGGGTGCTGCATCCTTACAGTCAGAATCCTTACTTACTTTTCAAACAGCCAGAGACCTTTTTTTTCAATCAGTCAGAATCCTTACTTTCAGTCAGAAACCTTATACTTTTGAACAGAAATCTTACTTTTAAACAGTCAGAAACCTTACTTTTAAACAGTCCATTTTCTTGTTTTGTGAAAGTCTGAAATGTCCAGAAGTTCTACTTCTGCCTGAAGGACACACACACACAGGCGGGTCTGAAAAAAAAGAACTCATCACGAAGGTAGAAAGAAACTGCTATGGCCATTTGTAATTGACAGCCAGATATGAAAGTAAGTAAATGTCTCCAGTTGTGAAACGTTATCTCTCAGAAGAGTTTCCTACGCAGAAGTTGCCGCCGTCAGAACGAAGAAGCCGTCTGCCTATCATGCTCGGACCCGTAGATGTCTGGACTATTAAAGTTATCGAACACACTTCATGTTCCCTGCCCTGCTACTCAAAACTGTGACCTCTTGAACCAAGTGTCTGAATGATGTGCTCATTTCTGTAGGATTATGGCTGTGACTGAATGGTGTCAGTGGTCTTTATTAAGACCCGGTGGTATGAAAGATAGTTTCCTCGATATTGGTAGCATTATTATTTGCGAGGAAATTTCCATAAATAAATTCCCGGCGTATGAGCAATAACCAAAGTTTCTGACACTCCGCGCCAATGAAGACAAGTGGGTATGAGAAAAATATGTAAAATAAACGACTGCCCGCGCAATATAGTGATCACGCCGTGTTGACCGATCTGTCATGGTGGGAGCAATAAAAAGAGTTTAACAGACAGTTTGCTCATTCCGGAGACGGTTTCATCATTCGGGGGTCCGTTATGTCAGCTTATTAACTGTTGGGAGGAAATCGCTACGTGTGTGCAAGCACCCCCCGAGCGTCCGGCTCCGCTTTATTGAAGTTCAAGGCGTAATTGATTTTTTCCCGGCACCTTTGCGGGGATGGCCCGGTATTGACAGTTGTACCTGAGCAGTCCGCACTAAATTAAACATTCTGTCATGTTGAATTTGTTGCTAGCAACGTCTTCCCCCTTTCCTCTGTCCGCCACTTTATCCCAATTGATCTCTCTCAATTATCCGAGTCCGGAACTAAATTCTGCCGGGCTTTACCGCGGAGATGTGTTACTTGGAGTGACAAGTGCCTGCCCGGCTCGCAACTCGTATCACTTCCGATCAATACAAGTGAGGCAACATAAAATTTCATCGCCCAGGTGACAGGCAAGATGTCTGATTTATGCTGCTAATATCCCTCTGTCTTCTCTAAATGAGAAACGGTTTGGAACGAGGATATTTGGTAGTCTGTAGTCAGTAATCTTTAAGTCGTGGAGTGGAAGAGACCAGTCATACACAATTTTATACATGCCTTGTGTCTCAACTTAATAGTCAACTTGTCTTGTTTCCATGTAAATTGCAAATCTACTTTTAGCAGTGTTTCATATTAACATATTATTTCATATTAACTTTTATACCTAATCACATGAATATGACTGTAACAATGCCTTATTTACACATTTTATCATAGACCACTCTAACTTAGTTCACTTCTTGCAGTAATATTATAAGAAAGAAGGGAAATGTTTAATTTGAATTTCAAGCCTCATAATTATCCGATGTAGTCAATTGTCACAGTAGGAGAGTGAAGTCAGACCGAACTGTAGTGTGAGATGGCAATCAGTTAATGGGAACATAACAACCAATTTGTTTTTTATTGTATTGCTATGTTTTGTATTGGAAACAATTTGTATATTTTTTATCATCAAATGAAAATGGAGATTCTTAATTTAACAAGTAAGCATTGTCAAGCAAACAAATGCAGAATCTTCAGAAATTATAGAACGGGAAGAACTGACAAAAAAGCTGTAAAACAAATTGCTGCCAATTTGCAGCACTAAATTCTTTTATGGGTCCAATTGTCCTTTTAACAAGTATAGCCATCATTTTCTTACTGATCGATGAATTTGAATGCTACAGTTACCATTGTACTGTAGTTGCAACCTGAAATGTAAGTACCGGTAACTTAAGTGCAACTTGTTCTTACCAAGACTACAGTAATTGTAAGTGTTTGTTTATTTTTAAAACAAAACCATTTTGGTATAAAAAGAAAAAAAAATTGCTTCAAAAATCTTACTATAATGTACCTCAATAATACAAGGACATTTTCTGTGGTGGATCAAAGTCAAAGAATGGTCTTCTTAATATAATATATTAACAAGTTGCAGCTTCAAGTAGAATGCAGGTAAGTGGGAAAATAAAGATATGTCAACCTACATTACTACTGGCTCTGTATGACACTTTCTTACAGTCGCACTATGCATTTTAAGATGCATGCTACATGTACATCTGCCAGTTTCTGTATCAAAGGGAAAATGTGAATAAAGGTGACCTAGTGTCCTGTATGTGTGTGTGTATGTAGGAAAATTGATTTGGGTGGTCCACAATTATGATTACAGATTCTGCCCGATGACACTTTCCAACTGTTACAGTTACATGTTGCATTTTCCCTCATGATAAGTCATATTAAAGGGAAAATGTGAATACAAGAGTGACCTATAGTGTCCTGTATGTGTGTGTGTACAGGAAAAGGGACTGGGAGGTCCACAACTGTGATTACAGATTTCACCCAATGACACTTTCCAACTGTTACTGACAGTTATGTTATGTTTTGTATAGGATGCAGTTACCTCTGCTTGCATTTACCCTCATAATAAGTCATATCAAAGGGAAAATGTGAATAAAGGTGTCCTGTATGTGTATGTGTGTGTGTGTGTACAGGGAAAAGGGACTGGGTGGTACACAACTGTGATTACAGATTCCACCCAATGACACTTTCCAACTGTTACAGTTACGTTTTGTATAGGATGCAGTTACCTCTGCTTGCATTTACCCTCATAATAAGTCATATCAAAGGGAAAATGTGAATAAAGGTGTCCTGTATGTATGTGTGTGTACAGGGAAAAGGGACTGGGTGGTCCACAACTGTGATTACAGATTCTGCCCGATGGCCGTGCGCGCGCCCGTGAGCGGGTTGCTAACCAAACGCAGGTGCTAATTTGGGCCTTAACCTTCAGTCCTCCTTGACGTGGCCCGCAAAGGCTCCAACTTAACCCATTGCCCGGGGGCTGCCCTTTCACACTCCAACAGTAACCTTTTTCATTATGGGAGAACTAACCATTTTCTCACCTGCCGCCTGACCTTTGTGCACCCCGGTTCAGAGGTGCTCTTTTACTCAAACTCACTCGAAATGGCCTCTGCACAGGGGGCAAGCCTGCAGAGATATGGCCTTTTTATAAGCTTAGACAGGTCAAACTCCCCAGTGTGCGCCTGGTCCATAAAATGCCACTAGTTTTCCTGGCGTGAGGCTCTCCCTTGCTTTTCCTACAGACTTCATTAGGATGAGTTCTGCCCCCGTGAATGGCGGGATCTCGGGAGACCGGCGCTTCCATCCGGCGTTTGGGAATGAGCTCTCTTGTTGCGAGGCGCGCGCATTGTCTCCTTGTTATCAGCGCATCCATAAAGATGCTGGGATGATATTCATCATCTCTTTGTTGTCATGATTGACATCATTTATGGCTATACAGGGATGTTGGGGAGAGAGTCATAAGCCGAGGTATGGGTCAGATATTGTCTAAACTGCAGACACAGGGCCATCAAAACTCTGCCAACGCCTCTTTGGCTTTCTTTGTTGGGGGGAGCAGCTTTGATGTTTTTTGGTGGCTTTGGGTTCACACAAAAGGGGCTCACTGGATATCAGGCCTGACCAATATTGGCTCACCTCTCCCATCCCTGACCACTAATAATGCGGCCACTAATGATATACGACCTTCGTGGCAAATGAGACCTTTTCCATAAAAATGACCACTCGCGGCTACTTTGTGGAAGTTGCACTTCTGAGCGGTTTGGGCGGTTGCGGGGCACACGCACACACAAAGGACGCCGTTGTATCGACGTTTCTTTTTGTAAGAAAAGTTTGGTCGGACGTTACATCCCGAAGTTGACCTTGCGTAGGATGGGGCCTGACCTTCAGGCCAATACAGGCTGTCAGCCTTCCAGCCTTTATTGAGTCATTTAGTATCTCATCTCATGCCAGTAAAGGCCATCCAAAAGTAGCCTTTTGTGAGTCTCCTGTGAGCATGTGTATTAAGGAAGCCAATCGAAGCGAGTGCCATCAATTCACTCCATCCTACCCTGGGGCCTAATGGCCGGTTGGAGGCTGAGGCCAAGTCGTCAGAGATAACAGGATATGGATCGTGGCGGGGGGGGAGGGATGGGAGAGAGAAGGAGAGAGAGAGAGAGACGGACAGCAGGCATCACACCGTGTACACGTATCTCTCTAACTCCCCCTCCCTTCCCTACAGACGTGGTCTAGTCGACTCTCTCTAGATCCTAGATCTCTCTCTTTCCCGACGACTGATAACCTGCCCCGTGCAAGTTGGCTTTGCTCGGGCCCGGCTCGGTCCACTTTGTCCAACATCGCACCTGACACCCGTGGCAGCACCACTCATGCACCCCGCCTGATCCCTAATATGTCCGGACCATGTAATTGCTAAGGTTTGGCTACGCGCCGGTGTGCAAGGTATTAATTATGTCCCGCAGGCTACATTTATTCAAAGTTGGATGGTTTTATCCCTGGCCGGACCGCTTTTGACCTCTGCCACGGTGTCGCCACCGGGACTTGGCCATAATGCTAAAACCTCCACTTTCCATTCCTTCTTGTTATCTGCTTTCTATTCAAACAAATGGAGATTTTGATTCATGGCCTTCCGTCGTTAAGAGTAGAAATGCGAGGGTGCTAATATCGATCGATGGACCGCCACGGACTGAAGCTCTCTTTATGAAGTATTTTTGAAAGTCATTGTGTTATTAGACCCATTCCCCCATTAGGCCAGGCTGGTCACTTTGCACATGTGGTCTGGCGGAGACTCGCCCCAAAGAATGGTGAAATATGCATTTTCGTGGCTGGAAAATCCTCTTATGACCTAATGGAGTCGTAATGGACGCACAACGGTACGATTTTGCACATGCAAAGTTCGACATCCTTCATGTATCCTGAATAATCTTGTTTCTGGGCGGCGGCCATTAATTCGGCCTCACATTTCCCCGGTGGCCGCGGCAAAATTTTGCTCCAACTTACCCAGCTATAAGTCTGCTCCTGCAGGAATTCAGCCGCCGACTTGTTACGCGCAGCAACCTCGAGCCGGACCAGGGAAGTTATTAGACTTGAATGTAAAGTTTTAAGGGTGCAATCATTATGTGGCGGGCGATTGCCGACGGCACCCTTTGCCGATGGACGCATCGCGCGCCTAAGTGGGTAAAGACGCCATTTTGGAACTGCCGTACATTACTGATAGAAACATCGAGGGACATTTCCATCTTCTGCCCTCTCCGAGTTTCGTATCAATCTCGACTGTTAATAACAAACTTCTGAGTCACATTTCAGATGATACAGACGACAAGATACGGACTCGTAAAACGGTCACGTAACGCGCCGCCGCCCAGACTGCACAATATATTACACAAATGGCCCTTGTTCGCGATGCCGCATCCATCGTGGTGGAACAAGCTCTTTGCAAATATGATAAAAGTATGTCACGTCAATTGTGGTGATTTATATTCATTTGAGGGGCGAAGTTATGGAAGCGGAGACAACTTTATCTCGCGCCGCTCCTCTCATGACGTGTTGCCAGATATTGTTTCGTCTCCCTCCTCCACTCTGGCCAATGACTGTCCCACTAATGCGAAAGTTTCTTTTCATATTTTATTGATGGCAAGATGAATAAAGCCCAAAGCCACAGACTTTCCGGTGGATCGATGGCGAGTTTCATTTGGGAGCAACACGGTGTGATAACGTTTCCTGTACATTAGCTCGCTTTGTACTTGGTCAGCACTCGTGGTGGCAACGCACACAAATCATACATGCATTGTGGCCAGCCTCTGTCAGGTTCGGGGAAAAGTTAAGTGTCTGCTCAGCACGCATCAAGAACTTTTGTTGTTGTGGAAACTTTTCTTCACTGAAAGCATCTGTCTGTGTTCTCAACAGAGTGCAGTGTGCAAAGCATGGCACTGCAGGAAACTTCCATTTTTGCTTATTGTCTAACTAGTAGGAAGGCAAAGTATTGACTCTATTACATTATACAAATGTATACTGATAATGTATACTTTTGTCTTGTCAGATCCACCAACAGTTAACCAGTTTTACAGTACAAAATCAAACAATTACTACATAGCATGACTGTGTAGTCCAGTGGTTAGTGACCCTACATGCCCCTAGACCAAGCAGATGTCGGGAGTTGGAATCCTGCCCATGTTGCTAACTCAACTGAAACTATTTACTTGAAAGGTTCAGGATGTTAAGCCTTAATGCGAAATGTTTTCGAACTCAAAAGAACTGACTCGGCAGAATTTTCAGTGGAAAAATCATTAATTTGTCTACAGTACTTGGGGCCAAATATCTGATGAGGGACATTCAATAAAAAATTCCGGGGAGCCAATTCTTTTGAGTTAGTTGGGAAATAGTTTATTTCTCATTAGGTAATTAACCAACTCAGATTAACTTCCGTGTTGACGTTAAACCTTGGTCCACTGAAAGCATTTGTCTGCTCTGTGAGGTCCAATACAGTACATAGACTAGTGAATAGCATGCATAGCCCAGTAGTTAGCAACCCTGACTCAGGACAAAGAGGTTGGGAGTTCAAATCCCTATTATTGATCACCCAACATACACTGGAAAGGGTCGCAGTCCTTAGGACGTGACATTGTGCTTGTTCAAAAAAGCTAGGGGAATTTCCCGACAACATTAATGAACCTGTAAAATAATACTATGCATTCTGTCTTCTTCTGTCACGACAAGTGGGAGATTAGCTCTTTAGGGAGCCAAAACTGGATCGAAATCACTTTTCCTTACTTAAGACTTAGTGATAACTCGACTTAGACTTGTGACAACATTTCTGTTCCTGCCCCCACCCCACGCCCTACCCCCCCACAGGAAAGAGCTGGTTGAGCTGCAGAACACCCACAGGCTGTGCTCGGAACAGGCGGCACAACAGGCCGAACTCATCAGGCAGCTACAGACGCTACAGCTGGACACACAGAAGGGTCAGTCTACAACAAGCACAATATGACATTGTACAATGATCTTTGTATCCAAATATCAATGTATCTACAGTACAACAATAGTCTGTAAATATGTATGTTGACATGGCATGGCATGGACATGAATGTTTCATATTTCAATCTTTTTTAAACCAAATGTCTTGAATGTTCATCGGTGTTGTCAGAAATCCTTTTAAACTGTAATTCCAACACAAGAATTTGACTTACAACCTACAGTGTATGATCCACTGCCCACCGAATAACTGTATGACATCGCAGGTCAGGACTGGTAGATTGCTCATTCCTTAACAAAGACGCTGACAGTCGACATTCAAGCTGTGTAAGTTTTGTGTTACAGTTTAACTTCTTTTAAAAAACATTTTTCAAGTCTTGTTTTCCTTGACCTACAGTTCTGAGGAATCAAGAGGATGCCCACAACTTCGAGGCTACTTCTTATCAGAAGGTAAGGGGATTTCTCCGCTGAGTGCTTCAAGAACCTGCTGGATTACCTTTCTCAGGAATTCTTAGAGACTTACTGAAGTCGTACTTACATTTACTTGACACTTCTGCTGCTCAATTGAGCTGAAATTTACATGCACATCTCTGGAATATGTTTTCTTGTGTCTTCAAGCAGAATTCTCTGCCCTTTCAACCTTGGATGGTAGGAGACTAGTGCTTCATACCTAAGGCCATGTTGATTTGATTATATGGATGACATCCGCGCGCACATGAATTTTCGGCCGTTTCCCAAAAAAAAAAAGTTTTCAACCATACTGTAAATCGTGCAAAACAGTTGCTAAATGAGCAAAAATATACCATAAGTTGCAAAGAAAACATTTAGAAACGATACCAATGTCGTAGAATGCCAAAATCAAAGGAAAAAAGACAAAAATGTAAAGAAATGAATTCGAAGAGTAGATAATTCGCCATAACATATTCTGTGCCATTTGTTCAACCTTCATGACCACGTAGATTTCATAGTGAAAGCAACTTTTTTTTTTTGCAAAACTTTTTTTTTATTCGCACGCTCGCATCAGTTTTGGGGTTCCCAGAGGATGTCATCCATATAATCAAATCAACATGGCCTAAATGAAAAAAATGAAAAAAACATCAGGAACTGGTACAAGGACCAGTACAAGGATCTCGGTAAAATAACCTGTGGTCTTCAATGACGACAGAAATATTGATAGACATTTCCAGAATGTTTATTTAGACTTGAATGCAGAGAACCTGGTGGGATGTCCAAAATCAATCTTAATCGACCTTTGTCTTCTCAAGACTTACCCACATACGTTAATAAACATCATCACAATCCTTAACTTATGCTGAACACTGACAGACTCAGACAGACCCAAAACAATACTCCCACTTTCACGGAGATAAGAAATAAAACTTGTCTTCGGCTGTGGTACTTGTAAAACCAAACTCTGTTGGGTAACTTTGTTCATTGTAAGGCCAGTTATGTTTTCTAATTCTGATGAACACAAATATCCGGAACACAGACAGACAGACAGACAAACACATACACACACAGACACACCCAAAACAATACCCCCACTTTTGTGGAGGTAAAAAATAAAACTTGTCTTCAGCTGTCATTAGGTACTTGTATAACCACATACTAAATATCATTCTACTAAATCTATCCAGGCCCTCTTAATAAGTTTCGATAATATGCTGAACACAAATATCCTGAACACAGACAGACAGACACACCCATAAGAATTCCCCTATTTTCATTGAGGTAAAAGAAAAAACTTCTGTAAAATCAGACTCCGTTGCTCATTCATTGCAAGGCCAGTCATGTTCCGTATCTTACACTGGCTGCTGAACAAAAAAATCTTGAACAGACAGACACACAGGCACACGTACAACAATACCCCTGTTTTTACAGAGGTGAAAAATAAAACTTGTCTTTAGCTGTGGTCTGGTATAAACACATACTAAGTATCATCACAATCCATCCACTCAGGCCTTCTTAAGTTATGCTGAATACAAATATCCTGACCAGACAGACACACCCATAACAATTCCTCAGACTATTTTCATTGAGGTGAAAAGAAAACTTGTCTTCGTACTAGTAAAACCAGACTCCGTTGGCCCATTCATTGCGAAACAAATCATGTTTTCTGCTGAACACAAATATCCAGAATACAGACTGACAAGATTTACACTCTCACACACACAAAACAATACAAAACAAGGAGGTAAAAATAAAACTTCTTCTGCTGTGGTACTTGTAAAACCAGACTCCGTTGGCTCATTCATTGCAAGGCCGGTCATGTTCCCCATCTCACACTGGCTGCCCGCTCCGTTGTAACCCTTCAGAAAGTGACAAAGTGTGCAAGTATGATGAACGACCGCGTGATAATAGGGTTTCAATCAATGGCATACTGTGTGTACAGGGGCCCATCTTGTGATAGCAGTATTGCTACAACTTTCCAACTCTTTGGGGAAAACGCGATATCGAACTTCGGGCTAAAAGTTTCATGGTAACGGGTGAAAGGGATCATGTTCTGATTTATACTGTCAATTCATTACATGAAATATGCATGCAGTTATTTCCTGATACATGCCGCACGGCAGAGAGCAGCGCTGCGGACATGGGGATGTGACAGTTTGTCACCGGTCGGAACAAAAGTGGGAGCCCGTGTCCTTTGTCTTCTCCCCCCACCAGGTATGAATAATTGAGAGGAACACGGATCTGCTGGGGATACATCATGTCAGCAGCTTAGGACCACCTGGGTAACATGTCACTGCCAGTCTTTTCACAGTCCCTAACCTTATTGTTCCCCCGCCCTTGTCAAGAGTCGGGGATAAAAGACGTCCGGGTTAAGCCTTCACAAAACGGTGAATAATTCACAAGTGCAAACGGCATATGGCAGCCCGATCGGTGGAAAAAAAACGTGTCGTAACGGGGAGGTAGCATGTCAAGCTGTCACTTTGATCCGCATTAGGGTGTCATCACCCACGTAACTGCCCCCTCCCTGGGTTATATGAACCCTAGCATCATCTCGTTATGGCGCTATCACTCTTCCCCGTGACAGGTGGAACAGCGTTTTCGCATGTACCGACAAACGGGAGAGGTGGCTGCCGGTACAAAGATAACAACGTGGCAATTTTGACGATGGGTATCCCGGCTCCCCGGGGGGTGCTCGCTGCGATATGAGGGATGAGCCGAGAAATGATTTTGTCGTTGATTGTTGAGGACGAGATGATGGATCAATACCTTTAAGCAGGTGACAAGTTTTTATAGCCCATCTATTGGAGTTACACGGCTACGTGCGCTGTCGCCTGATATTAAACCCTGATCTCTCTTAACCTCTGAGCTGTAACGACAATTCCAAGTGTTCAGGACAATTTGCTCCAAGGAAAGGGTATTACAGAGGCGCAAGTCGAGCGCGGGGATGCCCGATTTAACAGTCAGTGTATGTAGCGGCCACAGTCAAAGGGGTTAGTTCCGGGTTAGTCACACTTGGCAAATTGCATTGACACAGACTTTCACAGGTCAGGGCGGGATAATGGTCTTTGCACTCCCATTTTGTCCGGTACAAGCTGAAGGCCAAGATAAATGCCACCGTGGATTTCCTGTTTCGTGCCTGTTTTATCACCGTGCGGGTGCGGGCCCTGCGTATGATGGAGCAGGGAGGAGCGGCTGCCCAATCCGGGGAGGGGAGTCCGCTGATTGAATACCAAAACACAGCAAATCTGCTCCCAGCCCAAACCATCAGATGCATGGTGCAGATAGAATTAACAGAACAAAGGCTGTCCTATTTAACTTAGCGTTTTGTTTGTGTATGAAAATGACAAAGAGGAAAGGAGTTTGGCTGGCTGTTATACAATGTATTAGATACGGCCACCCGAAATAAAAAGTACATGTGATCCGTTATTGAATACCAAAAAATATGTTTCACTGAAAAATCTGCCCCCAGCCCATTTAAACATCAGATGCCTGGTGCAGATAGAATTAACAGGGCAGGGACTTTCCTTCTGTGTCTTGTTTCTGTATGAATTTAAATGACAAGATAGGAGCTTGGTCCGCTGTTATATTAGATACGGCCACCCTGAATAAAAAGTACATGTGATTCGTCAAGGTGCAGACCTTGTGTGGGAAGATACCAGACAAATAACAGTCTGGGCAGTCATGGTATGTCTTTTCTATGTATAACATACATGTAATAAAGGATTGTGGTCAGCAGATTGACCTTCCCCCTCCCCTGTAAGCGATATGAACGTTCCTCTGTCATTTCGCCAAGTTGATAACTTTTTGCAGACGGAATAACAATTTCCGGGGAATGTGTCTGCATCTCTCCCACAGTGTCTGAGCCTCACACGTAGCGCGTGGTTGGTGCTGATCGTGATATTGTGAAGAAGGACTGAGCATGAAGGGTTCCTTTATGTGTACAAAACGGCGTAGAAAAGATAAAGACAGAGTTGTCCACGGGGAATCCGTCAGTGTCAGGGTGGGTGCGAGTTGAAGAATGGCCCGCCTGTGTCTTTGTGACGGCACCCTGACCAACCTCACTAGGGTGTCCATCAGGTCCCATTGACTGTGAAATTGGACTTGATATCCAACTTACTCCAGTACTGGACTGGCTGGAAACTTTTTTCATCGTTCTTTTTCATGGTCTTCATTCGAGTTCACGTGTTCATTGGTATAAAGTTCTGTGCAACACCATACTGTATTATTTAGGTAGATGTCATCATAGTGTAAAAATGTAATAACTCTATAGATTCCTTGCTAAACTTTTAATTATTGTGCATAAGTTAATATTTTTTCATGCGCATTGCTACAAGAAGATAGCGACTTATTTCAAAGAAACTGCATTGCTGTTATCACATAGTGCAGAAAACAAGTGATACAAATGTAAGTGTAGTACAACGTGTCTTTCTAATAGTTTTCAGTGTTCACTGGAAGTATTGATGTTCTCCAACCCTCACAGACCTTGAAATTCATTTTTGGAAATACCATAGGTGCACAGGTGCAAAAGTAGCTGGTAGGGATCTTCCAGCAAGACTTGAAATGACAAACTTTTTGTGTGTGTTTTCATCTGTGTCATAACAAAGCCCAGACCATCAATTCTTGACCTGGATAGCAGATGATGTATCTGTGCAGGTGCCCAGTATATGGGCTGGGCAGTCCCAAATGGTGTTACAGTCCAACCGTACTAATACAACCAGGTGTAAAATATTGGACAATCAGTCAGGTTTCTTGTGGCAGTAACTCATTACAAACTGGCACTTCCGTGATATGTCACATCTAGTTTGTACGCTGAACTAATAAATGATGACACGTGATGCTGTAATGCAATCCTGGATACAATTTTTTATAAATTGAAGTCACACTACATTTGTCTGTACTGGAATGTAGGTCAATTTTGGTGGTGTTGCCCATATTTCATTTGTCTTGTACAGTAAGGTCACCATTGATCATTTCAGCTTCAAACTATTGAACTAAACATTAACTGAATTAACATAATAATGTAATACACTAACAGAAACACCGATTTTACAGTAAGTGAAGGCATAATTCAATGTATATGACAGACTGAATAAAGAAGGTAGAATGAGATGCTGCTGATGCAAAATGTGCATTTATCTTTATGAATGTGGCCATTGATACATAATATGACAGGTCAGTACAGTTGTAACTGTGAGGGATGCTGAGGCTGATTTGAGGCACCTGACATTTTATACTGAGGCATACATTTTGTACATATCGAAAATCACTGTGTTTGTGCCTTTGTGTGTGTGTGTGTGTGTGTGTCAGACTAGTGTGTGTGTGTGCACGCGCGTGTGTATGCATGTGTGTGTGCATGTGTGTGTGTGTGCATGACTGTATACATTGTATGTGTGTGTGTGTTTTAATAACTCATTCATTTTTTGCTGTATCTGTTGTCCCCAGATGTATGCTGAGCTCAGTGTACAGTTCAACTCCCTCCAGGCTGCAGAGATGGCACTGAGACAACAACACCAGGTACAGCCGGCTGCCACGCCCTTCAACTGGTCTCACTTAGCCTACAACAAGTAGATTTTATGGGTGACATCCTCTGCAGAATGATGACTCCAAATCTAATGCAAGAGTGAAAAAGAACATTTACATTGGGGAAAAAACAAGACACCTTAATTTTCAAAATAGAGACCACACAATCATGTACATGTATGTTGTAAAAGAATTGAAGTGATGAAACTTGGTACTATAGCCAACAAGTCTTTTATTCTTGTATTCGTGTATTTAAAAAGTGCAGAAAGTGAATGCTAGTGTTGTACCCTAGTATCTTGGGATTACCACACTTATTAGTCTAGTAACTTCAACAAAGTTGGTCCTGCACACTTTTACATTTGTAGGTTGAAACATAGGCTCCATATTCCTGGAGAGCATTTTTGCATTGCCAAGAAAAGTCCTTGAATTTTCTGTTGGTGAGGAGGAAGCAGCAGAGCAAGAAACCTCGGGGAGAAGGTTCCCTCATTTGACTTCCATCGTAGGAGAGTCCCAGACAGCAGATACCACTTAGCACTTCCCAAACCAACCTAAGGCCTGCTGCATCTTTTACCGTCATGAAAATGGAAACCGTCTGTGCCTACCTAGAGGTGAAAAACAATCCACTGCTACAATGTAGTGTCACGTAGCGTAATGGTTAGGGTGTCTGGCCCAGGACCCAGAGGTACCAGGGTGGAAACCCCTGACATGCGCCAAAGTTGTGTCCTTGGGAAAGGCACTTAACACAACTTTCCTCACTTCACTCAGGTGGAAATGAGTACCTAGCTTCGGTTAGGAACGTCCCTCAGATAGAGGTCCCGTGTTTGAGGATAGCCACACCACATGCAAATTAAAGAACCCACCACACTTATCAAAAAGAGTAGGGATCCTTCCCAGCGTTAGTGACCTTACAGTCCTATGGCCACACCTGGGGTAAAATTGAACCTGTAAATCTCTTGTTGATCTTGTGTCCACTATCCTTAGCAACTCAGCTATATGACACCAGTTTGTTTGTTTGTTTTCTTTATTAAGAAATCTCTTTGAATTTCACACTATTTTTCCTGAGTTTGGTGGGTTCTTAAACGTCCAAGGGGTGTGCACGTGTCTCTCCCCAAATGCAGGAGCTCCATTTAACGTCCTATCCGAGGGACATCCCTAACTGAAACTATGTACTCAATTTCCTCCTGAGTGATTAAAGTCATGTAAAGTGCCTTTCCCAAGGGCACAAGATCAGTGACATGGCAGGATTTGAACCTAGGACCTCTAGGTTCTGAGCTAAACACTCTACTGTTCTATGATGCCACACGACCCCACAGTAGAACTGATAGAAATGTGTTCAAACTTCCAGGAGCTGCTGGCTGACCTGAGGGAGAGAGACGAGCTGATTGTGGAGCTGAGAGATTCCCTGAACATCTCCAGAAACACGGGAACACAGGCCAACCTGCACCCCAGGGATCAGGTAAGGACATACACACACAGGCCAACCTGCACCCCAGGGACCAGGTAAGGACATACACACACAGGCCAACCTGCACCCCAGGGACCAGGTACAACTGTTATGACCAAAAGGGCTAAACATTCTAGCCAACACTAAGTAAATTGGGACTTACCCAAATTTTCGGCCAACTCCACCTGCCTTGTTCATGGAATAGACCCTTCTACTGCAGCTTCTGGGACGTGACGTCAGAAACATTGTGATTGCTGTGTCACCCTCCCCGACACAGGTTTTTATCTGACACGAACAACCATTTGCTGCAATCACATGAACCCCAGAACGTTTAGCCCTTTTGGTCATAATGAAGTATACCAACACAGATGAACTTCATGCTCAGGTACAACAGTTAATGTAATTAATATAAGGACTCACAACACAGGCACTGTGAGGCCAAGTAACAATCACCCCAGGGATCAGGTATTGACACAACTCACAACAAGTAACAGTTAACCACCAAAGGGATCAGGTAAGCACTCTTAACAAGTAACAAGTAACCAATGTTAGTAGTAGATAGCATTTCAGCACCAAGGACAAAAGGTAAGATTGCTACCATTTCATATGGTTTTTGTTACCAGGATAATTATGTAGAAAGAAAAGAATAGCTAAAATCACACAAAAGACTTTTGCTTTAGTTAACAAGTAACAAGTAACCAATGTTAGTAGTAGATAGCATTTCAGCACCAAGGACAGGTTCTTAGCGTATAAGCCCAATCTCTGTTTTTGCCAGTATTTACTGTCGTATGCACTTTATGGTAAACAATAAGTTTTATGCACTTCCGATGAACCTGTATATGTACTGTACGTATCATCAACTCTGTGGCCACCGGCAGAAGATTAGCTCACATGATAGTTCATCTATGTTGGTAGTTACATGTTTAAACTTTCGATCCAACACAAAAAGTTCTCTCACCTAGAGCTTTTGACTAGTCACTCTGGTCTTCCTCAGTAGACTGACCCAGTGAGGCTTGCCACGTGGCTTCTTTGAAGTGTGACGTCAACACTAGGTCAAGATTAGCTCAACTGTTCATTGAGTTGGTTAGAGGTAAACTATTTGAGATTGATCACTTCGAATTCACTAGTTCCCATTTTCACACATGCTGCAGGGAGCAGTACTTTGATTTGTGCAACAACAACAAACCATCCTCTGTACCTTTTACCATTTTCGTGGCATTTTCCCGTTTTTCCCATAGCCTGTTAGCCTGCGGGAAACACATGGACTATTTGAAGTCTGAAGGGTTTTGTATTGATTTATTAAAAGCCAGCTTTTACCTGAGGCTGGAGGATCAAGGCTAGAAGTTGTGCAGGCGGCGGAGCTGCGAGTCCTTGTACGGGTCCATTTGTCACGGCCGCATCGATACATGTGTAGTGCTCTTGTACACGTATCCCATAAGTAAGCTGAGCTTACCAAAGCCGGGCGCTTTCAGTTTACCTCATTGATTTGCTGACAGAAAGTGAGGTTTTTCCGCACATGAAAATGTCTTCAAGCAAAAAAGGCTAAATGCCACGGTGTTAAATGTGTTAACAAGTGGTTGAATTGAATGTCTGTCTTCAAGTTTCCCAAAGCTGGGTGATTTCCAGTTTACCTCATTGATCTGCTGACAAAAAGCGAGGGTTTTTCCCCCACATGAAAAAGTCTTCAAGCAAAAAAAAGGCTACCTTAAATCCCATGGTGTTAAATGTGATTACAAGTGGTTGAATTGAATGTCTGTCTTCAAGCTTACCAAAGCCGGGCACTTTCAGATTACCTCATTGATCTGCTGACAAAAAGGGAGGGTTTCCCCCACATGAAAATGTCTGCAAGCAAAAAAGGCTACCTTAAATGTGTTTAAATGTGTTAACTTTACAAGTGGTTGAATTGAATACGCCAAAAAAACAGTCTGAAGCAACTGGATATGATTTTGGAAACAGATGTTTCAGGTTTCCATCCACTAGCTTTCGTCAGTGACACTACAGAGTTGTCAGAAAAGCAGATTCATATTGATTGATTGATATGCAAATTAGTGCAGACATTTTTTTTTAAGTCCAAAGGGAAACAAAAGTTAGACAAGTCAAGACAAGGATGATGCAAATTAGTCAAGTACATGTAGCTCCTGTTGTTTCAGAACAGGAGCTTAAGTGTTATCTGTCTTTGGGACTAAATTGAATCATGACATTGTCTGTCTTCAAGTTTCCAGGAGGCTAAAGTGGCCATCCTGATGAGTGTTTGCAGTTGTGTCTCGTTGTCCACTCCACAGGCCTCGCCAGTTCCCGGAAAAGTGCAACTCATAACATTCAGAGTTGACAGTTTCTTCTGCTATTGATTTATTAAAAGCCAGCTTTCATCTGTGTCCTTTCCTGGGTAATCTCCCCCGAGCCAACTCACAAATCAACTTCTGTCCTTTTAAAACTGTTTTTGTGAGGCATTATTGATTTATCGAGGAGCCCTTAACACGTGTCTTGTGGCCGGGCAACTTCGCCAAAGTCTCGCCATAAATCAACTTATTGTGTACTTGATGATGGTGAATAATTTATGGCGGGTTCTTTATCTCTGTTTAGTGGCTGTGTGAAAGGTAAGGTGGCTGAACAATGACTGTCGCTCTTTGATCGTAGCCTGTTCCCTGAGCGCCCCGCCTCGCGTGTCTGCCCCTC